CACTACCGCAGAGGAGCCCTGGGCCCTTTAAATCACCACCGGAGAGCTGGGCCGCCACTACTCTGGGGCTCCGGCAGTGGGACTCGGGCGATGATTTAGAGGGCCCAGGGCTCCTCTGCGGTAGTGGTGGCTGGAGCCCTGGGCCCTCTAAATCATCGCCCGAGTCCCACTGCCGGAGCCCCAGAGTAGTGGCGGCCCAGCACTCCGGTGGTGATTTAAAGGGCCATGGGCTCCCGGCCACCGCTACTGCAGCGGAGCCCCAGGCCCTTTAAATTGCCAACGGAGCCCCAGGGGCTCCCGGCTGCTGCCACTACCCTGGGTCTTGGGGCTCTGGTGGAGATTTAAAGGGCCCGGGACTCCACTGTGGTAGCAGCAGCTGGGAGCCCCGGCCCTTTAAATCACCGCCAGGGCCAGCTTTAGGCCAATTCAACCAATTCCCCTGAATCAGGCCCCGCCCCTAAGAGGGCCCCACGCCCAAGCCCCGGTACGGCGTACTGGCAAGAGCCGGTGCGCTGTACCTGGGTGGCCCGGCTTCCCCAGGGGGCAATTTAAAGGGCCTGGGGCTCCCAGCAGGGGCTGGAGCCCCAGGCCCTTTAAATTGCCACCAGAGCCCCACTGCTGGAGCCCTGGGGTAGGGCTGCAGGGCTCTGGGGGCTATTTAAAAAGTCCAGGGCTCCAGTTGCTTCTACCGCCCCAGCCCTTTAAATAGCCGCTGGAGCCCCGACGCTTCCCCAGGGCTCCTGCAGCTATTGCGGTGGAAGCAGGGGAGCCCCGGGCCCTTTAAATAGCCCCCAAGCCCCGGGCTGCTGCTATCCGATGGGGGAGGGAGGAAGAGGGGGCACTTACCGTACAGGGTGGGCTGTACCCGCACCCTCTCTTGAGGAGGTACGTGGCTCTCTCTCACTCCCCCCTCACACTTCACAATGCTGGGAAAGAGCCTGGTGATGGCGGTGGTGATGATGTTAGCATCACATCTCCCCAGGGCTCTACAGCAAAATGTGTGGGGAAGGTCACATGTCGGACACAAATTTCTCTGATCAACTTCATCCTGAGGTTCTC